TGGGAGAGCTGGGGGGGTTCCCCTGGAGAAGAGAAGGCTCCAGGGAGAGCTGAGAGCCCCTTGCAGGGCCTAAAGGGGCTCCAGGAGAGCTGGAGAGGGACTGGGGACAAGGGATGGAGGGACAGGCCACAGGGAATGGCTTCCCAGTGCCAGAGGGCAGGGATGGATGGGATATTGGGAAGGAATTGCTGGCTGGGAGGGTGGGGAGGCCATGGCACGGTGGGATCCCGGCCCCGGCCACTGGGGTGGGTAAGGCCGGTTTAAAGGGATTTTTTTGGTCCCGGTTTTACTGTGGGAAAGTCCGGTTTAAAATAGGGGAGGTTTCCATTTTGTGTGGGAAAACCTACTTTAAAATAGATTCCCCTCCCTCCCCCCCCATTTTTGGAGAAAAATCCAGTTTAAAATGGATAGTGTTGAAAAATCCAGTTGCAAGTAGATTCCTCTCCCCTCCCCTTTTTTTTTTTTTTTTAAGTGGAAAAATCCAGTTCAAAGTCAAAGTTGTGGGGAAATCTAGTTTAAAATGGACATTTTGTCAATAAGTTTTTTTGAGGGGAAAATCCAGTTTAAAATAGATGGTTTTTTTCCTATTCTATGTGGAACAGCCCAGTTTGAAATGGATTTGTTTCCTTTTATTTTTGTGGAAAAATCCAGTTAAAAGTGGAAATTGTGGGAAAATCCAGTTTAAAATGGACATTTTCTCAATTATTTTTTGTGTTGAAAAATCCAGTTTTAAATGGAAATTGTGAGAAAAAATCAGTTTAAAATAAACATTTCTTCCATTTTTTTTTTCGTGGAAAAAATCCAGTTTAAAATTGAAATTGTGGGAAAATCCACCTTAAAATTAATTTTTTTCCCCCATTTTGTGAGGAAAAATGCAGCCAAAAATAAATTTTTTATTGTCCTTTTTTTTGGGGGGGGACAATCCAGTTTAAAATGAAAATTGTGGGAAAAATCGGTTTAAAGTGGAATTTTTTTTTTTTTTCCATTTTGGGTGGAGAAGTCAAGTTTAAACTGGACTTTTTTGTCAATTTTGTCTGGAATAATCCAGTTTAAATTGGATTTCTTTTTTGTCCTTTTTTTTTTTTTTTTAGTGGAACAATCCTGTTTAAAATTGAAATTGTGGAAAATCCCACGGTTGAAACGAAATTTTTTTCCCTTTTTTTAGGTGAAAAAAATCCAGTTTAAAACGGAATTTTTTTTTTTTTTTGGTCTGTTTCTTATGGAAAAATCCAGTTCAAAATGGACACTGTTTCGTTTCTTTGTGGAACAATCCGGTTTAACGTGTATTTTTTTTTTCTTTTTTTTTGTTGGAAAATCCGGTTTCCAATGGCCATGAGGGGGAGGGAAAGGAGGGGCTGCCGCCATCTTGGGGAGGGCGTGAGGTGTGAGGGGCCGCCGCCATTTTGGGGAGGGCGTGAGGGGCGAGGGGCCGCCGCCATCTTGGGTAAGGTGTGAGGTGTGAGGGGCTGCCGCCATCTTGGGGAGGGCGGGCGAGGTCACCCCTCAGAGCTTCGCTTGAGGAGGAAAAACTCCCCAGAAAATGGGAATTAATGGGGAGAAAGATGTGAGGCAAGTCCAGAGGAGGGCACGGAGCTGCTCTGAGGGCTGGAGTGCCTCTGCTCTGGAGCCAGGCTGGGAGAGCTGGGAATGTTCAGCTGGAGAAGAGAAGGCTCCAGGGAGCGCTGAGAGCCCCTTGCAGGGCCTAAAGGGGCTCCAGGAGAACTGGAGAGGGACTGGGGACAAGGCCTGGAGGGACAGGACACAGGGAATGGCTTCCCAGTGCCAGAGGGCAGGGATGGATGGGATATTGGGAAGGAATTGCTGGCTGGGAGGGTGGAGGGGCCCTGGCCCAGGTTGCCCAGAGAAGCTGTGGCTGCCCCTGGATGTGTCCAAGGAGCAGGATTAGGATCAGGGTTACAGCAGAAGGGGGAACTGTACTACAGCTCTGGAGATCTCAGTTCTCTCATCAGTGGGGGGAAGTTTGCATGGTGTGGAGGTCTGGAGGATTCCCAGGATTGGGGCCAAGCCCCTTGTTTTGGGGTGTGATTATCCAACGAAATAGGACGGGAATGTGCAGTAACACAAGCCATGGGTGACGTATCTTGGGAACACTTTACCTGGGCACAACAGCTTTATGTGTGGGTCCTGCAGCCACCAACCCAGTCTGGATTTTGGGCTCACCCTGCTTCTCCCCTGCCTCCCATAACCATGGATTGTTTCTGTTCTGCCAGTTCCCAGAGTATTTGGGAATAAAAGAGGGCTGTGCTGGATCAGGCCATTCCCTCATCTCCAACAGCAGTGGAGCAGTGACAGCTCTTGAGAGACAAAGAGCCCACTTAGGCTGTGCTGGATGGCTTCTCCAGCATTCCCTACGGTGGATTTTATGGCAACAACAACTACTGGGGAGACAAGGCCGAGGCTGTGAAGAGGGAGGAGTGGGGTGGGAGCCAGGCTGAGCTCACCACTGTGCAGGACTGATAAGCCAGAGCCGACCACAGAACTCCAGCTCAGCTCCACTCCCCCATGTCAGAGACACCCCCATGGTGAAGTCACGAGGTATTTTTGTCCCCTGAGGTGCCCCAAGGCCCAGCCTGGGTGTTTCCCTTTCAGACAGATGAATATCCCCCGCAATTTTACCCTCGTCATCCAAGACACTGGAGACACAGAGCTCTTCCAGTTTTCTCACCCCCCTTTGCATGGCCTTCAGCTCAAATTCCTTAGGACTAAGCCATGGCCATGCTGGTTTCCCATGTGAAGGACTTACATTTCTGTAGCCACACCACATTTTAATTTGCTTTCTCAACAAAATCTTTATATTAATCACAGGGCGTGGGATTGCGCTCACCGGGTGTCCCTGCACCTAAACAGGACACCCAGGGCTGCTTTAATTCCCTGCCTGTGTTCAATCAGAGGGATCCCATCCTGTGCTGCTCCTGATCCAGACAACTAGTCCAGGTATTGATGCAGAAGTTTGGATTTAGGAAAGACCAATCCTGTGAGTCTCAGTTTTATAACTCACGTGGAGAAGGAAAACTGCAGGTCAGAGGTGTTAATTGTCACCTTGTGCTGATGAAACGGGGGCAGGGAGGGAAGCAACAGGAATAACAGGTTTAAAATATGTAAGATGGGAATTAAAGGGTGAAAGGGGTGGGATGTGTTACCCTAAAGAGCCGAGAGGAGGGAATTTGAAGGGACAGGACATAACAATCCTCGTTTCATGGAAGATCAGGGTAAAGACAGCGACGAGCTGTGGGTTTGGGTGAGCTCAGGACTAGCAGAGCTCTGCCATGTGCAGGCATGGGAGTAGTCCTGGAGCTCCCTGGAAATGCCAGGGGACACTGGGAGGTCAACACTCTGAAATCCCACAACCCATTAAATCCTCTTTGATCTCTCCTGAGGAAGTTTTGCAGCACCAGGTTGGGAAGAACTTTTAAGACCTGCCAAAACATTCCAAGAGCCCCCAGATGTGGTTCTAGATGAGAAAAGCAAGGTATGTAAGAACTTGGAATGTTTCCTACTCCGCTTCCTGGTGATGGCAACAGGAATTGTGCAAACCCCGTGTGTAAGACAACGGGAAAGGAGGAGGAATCCATAAAAGTGTGCAGATTTCTAAGAAAACAGAGCTACTCCTTGGCCAGTTCCCAAAGGACAAGCTATAATTATCAGGTACTCCCTCAAACACTGCATCTATTTTCAGGAAGGGCTTCCTGGATAAAGTGTCTCAGGAGCCAAAACAACAGGTGACAGAAGGAGGTCCCTTGGCTCTCAAGGGCACCAGCTCAGGCCGTGTCATCTGAGAGGAGCTGAAAAGCTCAGGGGTTACTCCTGGGATAAGACAAAGAGCCTCGTGCTTAGAAACCTCCAGGATATCCCAGCCTGTTCCCCTGGGCCTTCACTGCCCCAGGGGCTTGACAAAACCTGCTGACAACCCCCCCAGACTCTAGGAAAAAACCCAGTAAACTTAATTATTGTAGCTAATTGTTCAACCAGTACAACTTGAATTCAGACATTGGGGTTGTAGCTCCTGGTTTAACATCTCAGGATGCTCAGAGAACTCTCCTCCCGGGCTGGTGGTTTCCATACTTCACACAACAGGCCACTCCTATAAAGTGATGTGGGAAAAGCACCCCCAGGAGTTGTGTGACCTGCTGGAATCACCCTGAGGGAGAAGATTTTCTGAAGTTAAATGTGATTTTTAGCCTGTACTAAGCAGCTATTAATAAAACTAAATAATACTAATTATTAAAAATACTAAATAATACTAAATATTTATAATACTGAATATAATACTAAATAATACTAAATATAATAATACTAAATGTAATAATACTAAATATAATACTAAATAATACTAAATATAATAATAATACTAAATATAATAATAATACTAAATATTTATGATACTAAATATAATACTAAATAATACTAAATATAATACTAAATAATACTAAATATTTATAATACTATGTATGAAATACTAAAACTAACCTAACTAACCAACCAAACTAACTAATACTAACTAAGCCACTAAACAGTATTTCTGTTTCCTTCAGTGATTCCTGTGCTCTGGTCTCCCTGGCAATATTTCCTTTTACATTGTAGGAGCACTTGGCCAATCCTTGCAATTCCAGCTACGAGAAATATTCCAACATCCAGCAGTAAATGCAGGTGAACTTTTAAACATTTGGGTCAACAATTTCCCCCAAAGTGGTCCCTTCCTGGCACGTGATCGTGGCCATTCCAAGGGATCTGCTGTCACCATGTGTTGCATTAAATATTTTCCTCATTTTTTTCCTTAAACATTTCTCTCTTTTAGTGCCACTTTCAGCCAGAAGGGCTGACACTAAGCCAGGCTTTTGCACAAAGAGGATTTCACACTTAGCTGACTTCAGCTTAGTCGTGAATATATCAGCCCTTAACGGTGAATTAAAAAAATTCCCTTTGATTGTTTCTCCTCAAGTCATGTAGCAATAACCTATCTGGAACACTTCAGGCTTAAAGGCTTTTATTTTAAAATAATTAAATATTTTTTTAAGCAAAATTATGTGGAGCCTAAAGCAAAAAAAAAAAAAAAAGGGAAAAAGGAATTTTTTTCCCAGGATTTTCTTGAGGTCTGAGGCTGTCGGGGTGGGAAGGCCCTGTAAGATTCCTCCAAGGGGACTCCTGAATTCTCTGAACATCTCCAGAAAATTACTGGATAATTATATAATAAATGTCATATTTACTAGTATATAGTAATGTAATATATATATTAAATATACAGTGGAGAACACACAAGGATGTAGCAAAACCATCCCAGTGTCTGGAATGGAAGACGTTGATACTCACACAGCAACTGTTCCTCTAAGTCCCAATATTTCACTCCTTTTGGTCCTTTGTGTGACAATTACAAGAGCAAAACACAGGAAAAAAAACCCCACCTTGTGCCTTTTTAAAAAATATACAGAAATCTTGGAAGAGAGAGGTTTATAAAACACAGTAAAATTGGTTTTTTTTGTTCCTGGAAGACACCTGAGATGGCAGCAGGGAACCAGGACGGTGAAAAAAGCAAATGAGAAAGGAGTTAACCCACTAAAAACTTCATTTTATTAACTTTGCTGACAATTCAGTGCCAACATTTAATATGCCTTTTGGAGGGAAGCTTTTCTTTCAAAATTCTCTTTGTTTAGGAGATACCTTTTATGAGGAAAAGAGTCCCTGGAGTTGGGAAGGAACAGCCAGGGCAGCTCCTCAAATGAGAGCTGGGACAAAAGGATCCCTGTCCCTTCCCAAGCCTTTCTTCTGTGTCATAAAGATCCACTGTGCTTTTTGTTTTTTCAGGTGAAAATAACAATAATAGGTGAAAATAACAGTAATAGTTGAAAATAGTAATGAGGAGATACCAGGCAATAGAGAAAGACTGGCTGGAGGAAAGGAGAAAGATGGGAAGCTGCTCACATCCAGCTAACACGGTGAATATTATCTTTTATTAAACCTTAAATATAGAGATTGTTATCTCCAGCACCCACATCCCATAATAGTCCTGTGGCTCTCCCCACCCACAGACACGCAGAGCAACATCCCCTGTGTTTTACCAGCGGGGTTTGGGTGCAACTTCCTGCAGGAAACGTGGGCCAACAGCGACGGCAGAGCACGGGGAGCCCCAAAAATGCCGAGCTGTGCCTCCCTGGCGGGGCTGACAGCGGAACTGCCCGGAATTCACCACGGAAACTCTCCAGGCTGCAGGGCCCCCTCACCAAATCCTTGGAGGATCTGAGCGTAGGATCATAGAATCACAGAATCCCAGAATCAGCTGGGTTGGAAGGGACCTCCGAGATCATCCAGCCCAACCCTTGATCCAACCCCGCCGTGGTTCCCAGCCCATGGCACTGATGCCACATCCAGTCTGTCCTTAAACACCTCCAGGGACGGAGAATCCCCCACTTCCCTGGGCAGCCCATTCCAATGGCTGAGCACCCTCTCTGCAAAGAAATTCTTCCTGATCTCCAACCTAAACCTCCCCTGGCACAGCT